ACATAAGTACTGGGGGTGTTTATGGCCAGGGGTTATAGCTACATAAGTACTGGGGGTGTTTATAGCCCGGGACTATAACTACATAAGTACTGGGGATGTTTATAGCCCGGGACTATAACTACATAAGTACTGGGGGTGTTTATGGCCAGGGGTTAGAGCTACATAAGTACTGGGCGTGTTTATGGTCCGGGGCTATAGCTGCATAAGTACTGGGGGTGTTTATAGCCCGGGACTATAGCTGCATAAGTACTGGGGATGTTTATAGCCCTGGACTATAACTACATAAGTACTGGGGATGTTTATAGCCCGGGACTATAACTACATAAGTACTGGGCGTGTTTATGGCCAGGGGTTAGAGCTACATAAGTACTGGGGATGTTTATAGCCCTGGACTATAACTACATAAGTACTGGGGATGTTTATAGCCCGGGGCTATAGCTGCATAAGTACTGAGGGTGTTTATAGCCCGGGACTATAACTGCATAAATACTGGGGGTGTTTATAGCCCGGGGCTATAGCTGCATAAGTACTGGGGATGTTTATAGCCCTGGACTATAGCTACATAAGTACTGGGGATGTTTATAGCCCAGGACTATAACTACATAAGTACTGGGGATGTTTATAGCCCTGGACTATAACTACATAAGTACTGGGCGTGTTTATGGCCAGGGGTTAGAGCTACATAAGTACTGGGCGTGTTTATGGCCAGGGGTTAGAGCTACATAAGTACTGGGCGTGTTTATGGCCAGGGGTTAGAGCTACATAAGTACTGGGCGTGTTTATGGCCAGGGGTTAGAGCTACATAAGTACTGGGCGTGTTTATGGCCAGGGGTTAGAGCTACATAAGTACTGGGGGTGTTGCATGGCCGGGGGTTATAGCTGCATAAGTACTGGGGATGTTTATAGCCGGGGACTATAGCTATGTAAATACTGGGGACGTTTATTGACCCGTGGCTATGTACTGGGGAAGTTTTAGGGCCCGTGGCTATGTACTGGGAATGTTTTGTGGCCCGTGGCTATGTACTGGGGATGTTTTATGGCCCGTGGCTATGCACTGGGGACGTTTAGTGATCCGTGGCCAAGTACGGGAATGTTTTATGGCCCGTGGCTATGTACTGGGGAAGTTTTAGGGTCCCTGGCTATGTACTGGGAATGTTTTATGGCCCGTGGCTATGTACTGGGAATGTTTTGTGGCCCGCAGCTATGTACTGGGAATGTTTTGTGGCTCGTGGCTATGTACTGAGGATGTTTTAGGGCCCGTGACTATGTACTGGGGATGTTTTAGGGCCTGTGGTTATGTATTGGGGATGTTTCTATACAGAGATACTAGTTTCATCAATGCAACGGTGTTTTGGCATTGATACACTTGTTGTAGTCTCTCTTCTTCCCCTGTTGTAGACGTGCACTTGTTGTAGTCTCTCTTCTTCCCCTGTTGTAGACGTGCACTTGTTGTAGTCTCTCTTCTTCCCCTGTTGTAGACGTGCACTTGTTGTAGTCTCTCTTCTTCCCCTGTTGTAGACGTGCACTTGTTGTAGTCTCTCTTCTTCCCCTGTTGTAGACGTAACTTGTTGTAGTCTCTCTTTTCCCCTGTTGTTCAGTGCACTTGTTGTAGTCTCCTTTTCTTCCCCTGTTGTACGTGCATAAATGGGCTTGAATCTCTGTTGTGCACTTGTTGTAGTCTCTCTTCTTCCCCTGCTGTAGACGTGCACTTGTTGTAGTCCAAATTTCTTCCCCTGTTGTAGACGTGCACTTGTTGTAGTCTCTTTTCTTCCCCTGTTGTAGACGTGCACTTGTTGTAGTCTCTTTTCTTCCCCTGTTGTAGACGTGCACTTGTTGTAGTCTCTCTTCTTCCCCTGTTGTAGACGTGCACTTGTTGTAGTCTCTCTTCTTCCCCTGTTGTAGACGTGCACTTATTGTAGTCTATAAGGTAAAAATTAATAGTTGTAAATGATAATTCAAAAAAATAATAGATAGGAGACCGGGGTCCGTCCGCTTGCCTCTTTCAAGGATAGAATTACTGAACATCCATGGGCTTAGCATTCAGTACAGCCTTGGAGCAAGACTACCCTGTTGTTACACCGTCCAGTAAGAGCAGTGGGGGTCTAACGAGCCAGGGTTGATTCGCACAGCATGACAAGGGAATAAGCATACACATGCCTTGTTACATGGGGGAGCTCGTGAGACAAGGGGTACATGCGGGAGGGGGGTTGGCAATATGCACACCTCCGTTCTCATCTCTGATCCGCTCCATCCCACCCCCTCCTACATGCACGCTCCCCTCCCTTAGCTGTAGCTCCGTACGATATCCCTTTTTTCAAGAAATTAAGTGGCTGCAAGGGCCCTGCACTAGTCTGTCATACTGCCGCATAAAACATATACATGTATATCCAAGAAAGCCCATGCAAGTCTAGAATATGTGGCAAGTCTAGATTTCCACTTCAGGAAAATGAAGAAGGTCTCAGGGCTCCTTTTCATTATATTTTATTTCTATTTTTTATTATGAACTGCTTTATCTGTAAAATATGTTAATTTCAGAGACTAGTTGTTAGTCTACCCCTGCACTTATATATTTCAGTTCAAACTCATACCTGCTCCTAACTTTATTTGGGGGCGTATATCATGTAAATATGATTGGTACAAACAGAGACCATATAATAGATATTATATGGTCTCTGTTACAAACAAGGAGTTATATTTACGTTTGTACAACAGATTAATGTCTCAACACAGTCGATGATCTTCTTAAACATTGAATATTAAATCACATGGGTTTAATCAGATCATAACTGGTACATTTTCTGCAACTTCGCATGAGATGAAGGGTCAAGAGAGACTCAAAACGTAATGTAGATATACAATGAAGTTGTTGTGTACCATGGTATTGCTGAAGGGGTTCTGCAGATGTGTTTCTGTATGAAACGATCTTTAGCCAAAGTCTGAGTGCACAAACGCACCCTAGAACGATTCCATTCTGCATTGTGCCGTTTTCTTTATCGGAACTGTCATACTGTTGTATTGTATACATTTGATTGACCGTCTTGGACGACCGGCTCTGTGATCAATGCTCAGTCCTTGAGGATGAAGAACACTATTTCATGCCTTGTAGTAAATATTCAGATGTAAGACAGTCCATATTTAACTCCCTTTCCTTTCAAATTAATAACTTTCAAAGCCTTTCTACCACAGAAAACTTTAACTTCCTGTTTACAAATAATGAATAATCTGCTACCATATGTACAGCTTTAAACAAATCTAGAAGATCACTAGATTGTCAAGGCCATTATACACATTTGTTTTAGTATATGTATTGTTACTTTAATTCATATATCTTGTTTATGTAGCCTAGTTTATATAGATTGTTGTCACTGTTTCTGCATGGAACGTTTGCGCAATAAATATCTATCTTATCTTGTGTTATATAAGACACACAAAAATATTTCCAGATGTGCGCGCGGGCGGCGCACACACACACACGCGCACACACACAGCTAGAGTTATGTGCACGTGAGGCTCGACTTCCTGTTGAGAATCGGGCTTCCATCTGTCCCTCTCCCACCACGCATCTCCTTACAAGTTCAGAGAGGAGAAGTGGGGCCAGGGATATGGGATTGGCGTGTCATATTTTGCGAAGTGGTGGCGAGTGGCTAGTTTGCCCGTGCAGACATGTGCCATGGGGTGGGTAATGGGGGTCCATTCACGCTCGGCCTTCTGGAATGCTGTGAATGGTTATACAAGAGGCCAGCACCACTCCCGTGCTTTCCGCGTTATTTACACCGTCAACGGGAACGGCATATACGTGACGACTGCAGGCTGCGAGATCCTGCATGCACAGCAATTTATTGTTACACAAGTTGAATAAAAATCAAGCGGACACAGTTTTTTGAAAAGGAGGGGTTCTGTTTGTGTTCACAACATTACATACATCATGTGACCTTGTGTACATTCAGTGCAGATAGAACTGGCGTACAATGCTAATATGTTTTGTATAGGCTTTAAAAAGCGTGTGCGTGCATGTGCGCAAACCCCCCCCCCCCCTTCTCCCTCGATTTTTTTTGCCATGAGGAGCATTCCCCCATAATCTTTGGACCTAAAATGTCATCACATTAATTGAAACCATTTCGTTATATATCCAATTAACTTGTTAAAACGTATAGATAGATATAAATATACTACAAAAGACATACTGCAGTATACAACCATTATCAGTTTCTAAATGGTTAGTACACTTATAACAGTAACCGATGCCTAAGTGTTAATTACATTGCAAATAACAGAACTTGATTGTGAAATAAATCTTCATTGTGAAGATTAATCCCAGATTCGATTGTTCATAAAAATTACATAATATCTACTGTAATATGTTATGACCCACGCGTAACCTTCTTGATAGACAGGTCGACCGTGATGTTTATGCATTATTATTTCTATGTTCAAGGTGACGAGATGGTTGCTGTGTTTACCTAATGACCTAATTATGTTGCTCAGATGCCACTCCTTTCATGTTGTGGGTTCTGACCTTTCACTCGATGGATGCCACTGAACAATCGATTTCCCATCACGAGATAACAATGATCGAAATCTATTTTTGTAAACACTCTTGCAATGTGTTCCATTCACGTCAAATTAATCTAGTCGGTATATTTGTTATTCCGCTCACCATTGTCAAATTGGACAACACAGAACCAGTAGATAACCGATAGCCTTGTTGATTTCAAAACATTTCGAATTTGCTATTAATGGCGTGTGCTCACGCTTTTGGCACAGTGCCAAAATGCGTAATGCGTATTTGGCGGGAATATTTTGTTACTGAGTGGCTTCGAAGTAGTAAAGGCGAATACCATATAACTTATATATGAATATATTACAGTATTTTCTGTATGGCTGTATGTGTTGATTCGGTCAATGTTCAGTGGGTGGGAACATGCCTGCGTATAGCGTGTAACGAGTCACCCCCGTTATAACGTTTTGTTTACCTCCCGTCTCAGCGCATGCGCAGACTAGACTGAATCGACAACAGTAATGGCTGCGAGCACAAAGCACAACTTGTACCCAAATGTCCAGAATACTAACGGGGAACTAGACAACTCGAACAACAGTAATGATTCTAGAAATGAGGCTCAAGTTGATTTGTTGGTAAGTGTGAAGTTTGACGAAGAAATCGTTCTATGAGGGGCAAAACATGGCGAGAACATGTTGAGCACATGGCATTCACGTTCAATGGCTTTGGGTATTTCATCATCTAGTAAGGACACGACCGTGTTTACTAACAATGCCGACTAACGGCGCCCTAGCAATAGCTGTTCGCGATTTCTCGCAGTGGTAGCCGCTGTTTTCAACAGGATTTGGATTCCATTATATTGAAATAGTAGTTATACATTAATTTGACGTATTTTCTCATTGATTTCTGTTATGTTTTCGTTTCGTGGAACATAGGCCGCGATCAGTGCGGATAGACTCGCAGGCACACATGTTTGAAGCATGACTTGGTCGTCTGCGCCCCAGTCTCTGTCGGACGGTGCTTCGTCGCATTCCATATTTAGCCGCATGCGCTCTTGGAGTTGGTTTTAGATAAATTAAGAAGTTGGAACATTCGTGCGAATGAAAATGAAATATTTCCTCGAAGCTCGAGTATTTACTCAGGTTTACGCGGGTTAAAACGGCGCCAATATTCATGTCTTAGGCAGAGGTTTTTTTTACAGGCAAGTGGCATTTCGTATTATGAACGTTTAATTTGTGTCGGTTTTGTGTGTTGGGGACAAATAAGCACATTTGTGTTATTTTGTTTTGATTTATTATAAATGATTCGTTTAAAGGCTATTGTGATGTACAGAGTTCTTGAGATCTATTAAGTAGCGGAACTGTTATAGTTACGGAAATGTCAGTGCGGCTATTGATCTTCCTTGACCATGCTTGTTGATCTTCCCATTTTTGTTTTGTCATTTTTTTAGACCTGTCAAGTTTTCTTTTTCCGGAAAAGGAATTTAATATAGACATGTCCTTTTCAATTATGTTCCTTTGTTATGAATCAGTTACTATGATCAGTGCTCACTCAAGCATGCGCTTACTTCAAGCACTGTTGAGATTTTTGGATTTAAGATAAGTTAAAAAGAGGTTTGTGATCAGGTGATTAGTTTTTCTTCTCCACAGTAAATTTCACTATGATCTCCAAAATTTGTATGAATATCTCCCAATGAGATAGTTACAATCTCCCATAGTTACATGTTACAGCTTTGTACACATGGTAGGGGATTTGTTTTCTGTGAAAAAAAGGACTAAGAAATTTATACCTGAAGTGGCTTTAATCAGCGTTGCAAACTCCTGCCTACCCGACCGTCCGGGGCGGTCTGTTGCATGCCCGATAGTCTAGCTGTTAAAATCAGTGTAATTTTGTAATGTATATAATGACTAAAGCCTTGACTGAAAAAACATTTGAAAACGTGTGTTATTGTGACAATAACCTGACATTAAACATGTCCCTCCTCTTGTTAACGTAACCTTCTTTTTATTTTTCTTAATTCAGAAAATTCTGGACTGGCAACTTTACAGCCGGTCTGGTAACTTTTGAGAGTTGCCAGACCAGTTGTCTGGCTGAAATTTTGGGGATTTTACAACACTGCTTTAATGTATTTATACTACATTACATAGAAAATGTAGAATGGCATGTGGAAATGCCTCGCACATTTACACAAATGAACGTTATTAAAATGTCAAAATTTGAACAAATGACACACATTGAAAATTTTGTTTCCAGCCTGCCAAGACCACATATATTGGAATCCTATATGAATAAAATGAGGGCTGAGTAGTATTGGCATTTATGTATTGTGTATCTTATATGTATTATTTTTATAAAAAAATACATAGCATTGGCATATTACCACAACTTTCATTTGTGTACATTGGTATTAAAGCTGTTTATTCACCACTTGGGACCAAAGGTATTGTAAAATATGCTCACTTTGTTGAGGTTTTGGGAAAGGAATAGGTCCCAACTTCCCTATGTTTACTGTTAGTGCCAACAGAAACGGTTTGGATGGTCAAGCCTTGTGATTTGAGATCAGTTTTCAAAGCCTTACAATTCGTGCTCATTTTAATACTGACCCCCATCTGGGTGTGATATTTCTGACTGAAGCATGAATCAACAATTAATGAAATAAAATATGAGTTCTTATGTAAAATAACATAAAATTGAAGATAAAAAATTCACTAACAAAAATAGGCACTCTAGCCCTAAGCTTTCTTTGTGAGTAGGATTGTTGCATCATCTGTAAATGTGTATTTTTGTCCGTAGTGCTGAGTAAGCATGATATCAGATACCCCACTCCCATAACACTGAACCTAGATAGTGAACCAAAGAAGTTTTTTTCTGATAAGAAATATGCCAAGTCATCCTCTAGAGCAATCTCACCATTTAAACCAGGGTATATGTACACACAGACTGAAACTGCAGGACATTTGATTTGAATTGTGTCACTACATTGTAAGACGCCTCCTTTACCTGGACTCGTAATGACGGCGAGTGATTCAACAATTGTTCAGTGTCATGGAGATAATGTAAGTTCATTAAGATCTCTTATTTCATCAATTTAGATCATTTTCGTAAATATGTGGAAACTTAAGCTGCAGCAAATTTGTGACATTGAAATATAAATTACATGTATTTCTTGTTTTAGACAAGTAATATTTGTGGTTTTGTTACTTTCATGAAATATTATTCTTGGATACTGAATCAAAATGTATAGGGAACTATTTATGATAAGTAGCATAAATAGTGTTTAAAGATGAATTAAGATAGCATATTTGTGATAGTGTACATTCCATTAATTACACCGGTAAACAATCTTGTGTACACAGCCTAAACTGCTATAGTTAAACTGTGTAGTGATGAAACCTTAAAGCGGCCAGTTTTACTAAAGGGAAGTAACTGTGTAAACTGTTCTTTTAATATAAATGCATGTTTGAATCATGACCCCTCATCATGTTCATGGGCAGAATTCAGCTTTATAGAACAAGTTTTATGGATAACAACTTCTTCATTTCGTGAGTGCGACGTTTCGATACAGATTCTTGTACCGTTGCACTCTTGCTTGACAACGGTACAAGAATCTGTATCGAAACGTCGCACTCACGAAATGAAGAAGTTGTTATCCATAAAACTTGTTCTATATTGTACGTCTCAACTTCCAAAATGCCACTCAAACAAGAATTCAGGTTGTGTGTTTTTTTTACATTCATGTGATATGTAGGGCACTTGTGACAGATAAGTCATGTGATTTCTCAATGAAGGACATTGTGGGACTACGTGAATGTCAACTGCTTATGGGGACCAAGTTACCATATTCCATGTATAACTGTATACACAATGCACACAAGATCCCTGTCTTTGATATATGATATACTATGTTTTGTAATACCCTTCCTTCATTCCCAGTAGCATTATTTTCTGGAGACCTTACATGCTGCAACATCAGAAGCAGTTCACTTAGTTTGGCATCATGCAGATATTTACACCTTAGACCACAACAGGCAGTGTTTGACAAATATGAAAATGTCATTGAGATGGTGTGTCTGATAAACCATGGTGGAGATTCCAGACAGATAGGGCCGCAGCAGGCTAATTCTTGTGGTGATGTGCAACTGATATGGTGAATAAATATGTATTCAGAGCTACAGATAACTTTTTGGGTCATTGAGTTATGTACTAGCTTGTGTTCATCTTAATTGGGTATCCTAATGTTCCTTTGAGTAACCAAATAAATTGTACCCACCTCACTCAAACTCATTTGGGTATTTTGCCATATTCCATTAATTGTAAACATATATGAAAGTTTAAATGTTGGTTTACGCGTTTGTTATTTATGTTTGTTCTGTTATATGAGAAACGATAAGAAAGACTGCAAATTGCCAAGTCCAGGTGCTGAAACAGAAACTCTCAATATACCTCAGATATTTTATCTATTTTGGTTTGTACGCATGTTATATCAAATCTATTGAGTATTTACAAAATATGAAGCGTACTTGTACGCAATAGACTTAGTAGGAATTGAGTTTCACATAAATATTTGCGTAATTTACGCAGATACGCAGGTTATCTGCACCTCTGGTATTTATGTTTTCAGTTTGTTTATGAAAAGTGGAACACAATAGCAATGAAATAAACTGTCGCATGGTATCACAGCTGACATCATAAAACTGATTAAGTCCAGACAAGTGGTAGAAACTAGTGGTGGTCCGATTAATTGAAATATCGACGATTGGTCACAGTGACTAAACGACCAAGCAATTGAAAATGTTTTCTCATAATCGAGCACCAACAATTTTGGAACACTTGTTTGCATTAACAGTATTTTTTAACAAGGTTGGTTTGTCTGTGTCATTAAATTTACATGTCATAAGCACTACAAGCTCGTTTCCAAGTCATGATTGAATTTATCTTAAAGATTCCAGGAAATTTATGTTTCTAACATACTAGCCATCCTTTAAATATGTGAAATATGAAAATGCATTTTGTGCAATTTGCAAAAAAAACAAAGAACTACATGTTTTTTTCGTTATTTATTTTGTGCACTAACAAAGATAACAGTAACATGGATAAATGATGCTAACCAATTATTTTCAATGATTGATCGGTTGAAATGGACCAATGATCAATTATGAGATTTTAACCGATTCCCAACACTATTAGAAACCACATACATACAAGTGCTTCCATAAGTGAAATAATACTTCACACAATATTAAATCCGGATTTCACCGCACCGTAAGGTTCTGTTGGCCCTTTAATGGAGCACAATGGGTTGAGCTAGCAAACGAGTGCAGATTCTATCCAAACTCTAATTTATCATATAGTTCACAAAAATGGGTAGTCTATTCTTTGCAATGACACAAAAAAAATATGACTTCCTACGACATTTTTAACGGTGTACAATAAAGCTGGGGACAAATAGGTGGTTCTCCTGTTTCTGAAACCAGCTGTAGAAGTAATCCGCAGGTGATTCAATCCTAAGTCTAGATTGTCTTCTGAACTAATATAAGCTATAAATGCGATGGTTTATTTACATACAGTCTATAATCAAATCTGAAATACTTGCCATCCCATTGAAATTAGCAGTAGTCTGCTATTCCAAAATGAG